TTTCTTTCTTTCTTTCTTTCTTTCTTTCCTTCCTTCCTTCCTTCCTTTCTTTCTTTCTTTCTTTCTTTCTTCCTTCCTTCCTTCCTTTCTTTCTTTCTTTCTTTCTTTCTTTCTTTCTTCTTTTCTTTCTTTCTTTCTTTCTTCCTTCCTTCCTTCCTTCCTTTCTTTCTTCTTTTCTTTCTTTCCTTCTTTCTTTCTTTCTTTCTTTCTTTCTTTCTTTCTTTCTTCTTTCTTTCTTTCTTCTTTTCTTTCTTTCTTTCTTTCTTTCATCCGTCCTTCCTTCCTTCCTTTCTTTCTTCCTTCCTTCCTTCCTTTCTTTCTTTCTTCTTTCTTTCTTTCTTCTTTTCTTCCTTCCTTCCTTCCTTCCTTTCTTTCTTTCTTTCTTCCTTCCTTCCTTCCTTCCTTTCTTTCTTTCTTTCTTTCTTTCTTCTTTTCTTTCTTTCTTTCTTTCTTTCTTTCATCCTTCCTTCCTTCCTTTCTTTCTTTCTTTCTTTCTTTCTTTCTTCTTTCTTTCTTTCTTTCTTTCTTTCTGTCTTCCTTCCTTCCTTCCTTCCTTCCTTCCTTCCTTCCTTCCTTTCTTTCTTTCTTTCTTTCTTTCTTCCTTCCTTCCTTCCTTCCTTCCTTCCTTTCTTTCTTTCTTTCTTTCTTTCTTTCTTCCTTCCTTCCTTCCTTTCTTTCTTTCTTTCTTTCTTTCTTCTTTTCTTTCTTTCTTTCTTTCTTTCATCCTTCCTTCCTTCCTTCCTTTCTTTCTTTCTTTCTTTCTTCTTTCTTTCTTTCTTCTTTCTTTCTTTCTTTCTTCCTTCCTTCCTTCCTTCCTTCCTTCCTTTCTTTCTTTCTTTCTTTCTTCCTTCCTTCCTTCCTTCCTTTCTTTCTTTCTTTCTTTCTTTCTTTCTTCCTTCCTTCCTTTCTTTCTTTCTTTCTTCCTTCCTTCCTTCCTTTGTTTCTTTCTTTCTTTCTTCCTTCCTTCCTTCCTTTCTTTCTTTCTTTCTTTCATCCTTCCTTCCTTCCTTCCTTCCTTTCTTTCTTTCTTTCTTTCTTTCTTTCTTTCTTTCTTTCTTCCTTCCTTCCTTCCTTCCTTTCTTTCTTTCTTTCTTTCTTTCTTTCTTTCTTTCTTTCTTTCTTTCTTTCTTTCTTTCTTTCTTTCTCTCTCTCTCTCTCTCTCACTCATTATTTTTCTCTCTCGCTGGTTCTTGAATCTCTCAACACACTTGCCCCAAGCTGTGCCCCAAGAACACTTTTGCGCCTCAGCGGGTCACCAGGCTGGAGCCACGCGCCGAGCTCAAACCTATGCACCGCACCGCTTAGCGCAGGCTCACCGAAGGCTGGCCGAGGCTTTTGCCGCTTCAGGGTGGCCGAGAAGAACTCCTCTGGCCTGACATTCGCCCATTGTTGAAGCACCAAAGCAAAGAAACCACTGTGGGTGGGGGTGTTGTCTGTGGTGGGAGTGGGGTGGGTGGGTTGTGGGCTGGGTGGTGGGCTGGGTGGGGGCTGGGTGGGGGCTGGGTGGGGGGTGGGTTGGTTGGTGGGTGGGGTGGGGAGTGCATGGAAATTTTTCATGAAGCCGCTGGTTTTTGTGCAAAACAAATCTGTCCGCACCATGTACCTCCAAAAAAGATTATAGACTACTGCAATGATACTATGTTGGCCAATTTTCTGTGAGTGTGATGAAGCACATCTGGGACTCTCCATTCCATGCTTTCCGAGCAACCTCCAAGAGTTGTGACAAAATTCATGAATGAGTGAAAATCAAACCCCTCGGCCTGCTCACGGTCGGCTCTCGGCAAGAAATCACAAAACCCTGATTGTGCACGACCTGTGCTTATGGTGTATATACGTTTGTGACTTGCCTGCACATGCTGTTCCTCAGCCCCACGGCCATGGGTCAAAATCCCGTACCCCCCGTGAACATGCCAATCCCTAAAATAGACTAAAATGGATGGTGCACCTACCCCAAAATGGTACCATTCGTTTTGACCCACAGCCACATGTAGTGTTTTTCTCGCCCGTGCCTCAGCACCAGAGCAGACATGCGAAGCACCAGCAGGTCCACATCCATCAGCAGGTGATGCCTGAAAGCTGGTTTCCCCGACCGAAAACCGCAATCCAGTCAATCTTTTGGCCTTCTTCTCAGCTACGAGTGATTGAAAAGCCGCGAGGCTGTACTGACATTGATTGTTTTGGACATATGGGTGCGGCTCAAAATTAAACAGGAGGGGCAAACCGCTGGTTTTGATCCATTTCCACTTACCAGGGTTCCATTTTGGTACCGTTTTTTTGCGCCACAGCCATATCCAGTCTTAAGATTTCCATTGTTAGCTTCACATGTCGCCTCTGGTCCTACCGCTCTTTCTCCTCCCGCCGTCGACTAGAGTTGCTTCGTCTCGTTTCTTGCAAAATGATCAGTGTGCCTGCTCCTGCATCTTTCCTCTGAGGCTACTGCCAGTAGTTCATGCGATAGAACTCGCACTCATGCTCCAGAGCCTAACAAGGGTAATTTGAAAAACATTCGCTGCCACTGCAACAGTCCAATAAAAACAGCGGCAGAGTTGAACACCTCTGGTGGCCTGTTGCTACCTCGTCAAATATTTTCTGTCAGCAACTCACTGGCAAGTCGTAGCGTCTCTTGGTGTGAAAACGTCCCCCTTCTCCGATCTCTGCAAAGCCCTTCGCGCCTCCCCATTTCTACGCCACATGCCGCTCATCCTTGGGCTGTGAAAACCAACCCTCACGCAGCAAACTTCCAAGTGGCTGACACCTGCGAATGGAGGACCAAACACCGCAAGGGGTGCTCCATCCTCAGCTTGCCAGAGAAATGGGGGATCGGAGGGCCCATAGGTGTCCTTTTAGAGGAAATAGATTTAAAAAAATCCCTGGTAGATGATTAAACCGCCACGTAATCCATTTTTCCAGCAAAACAGCCAGAAAGGACACCTAGGGCCTCCCAAGCTCCCAGTCCCGCCCCGTCCGAGGCACCACCAAAGGACGTCAGACGCAGCCATCCCCACGGCAGAGAAGGCCTGCCGGGCTTGGGTTTCTGAGGCACTCATGGCCTGCGACAGCCTTCTCCAGATCCTCAGAAGGACCTTGAAGGCAATGGGCATGGATCATTTTTTTCCATGCTTCCACTTACCAGGTCCCATTTTGGGTACCTATGTTTGACACACAGCCACATCTCTGCACGGCATGAGCTTGGACATTCGAAGGTACCGCTTTTAAGCGAAAACTATGGTTGACTTCTCAAGCAAAACATGAGATCAAGACCCTTCAAGAAACCAAAATCAAGATACATGGTCAGATAGCAAACTATCTGCCCAACACTGAAGCACCTTTGAGGGCGATTGGCCTTGTCCCCTGTTACTTGCTACCATTATTTCAGCATGCGACTGCCTGGCGGGTAGATCAGACTTGGGTCCCGCGCGAATGCAAAGCTGGTGGATGAGGAGAGCCAATACCTCGAAAGAATTGGTCCAATGGTCCACCCGAAGGCTTGCCATGACACAACTGCCACAAGCTGAAGCCTTAGCCCAGGGTCCAGGCTCGATTCACAGGCACGTGAAAGCTTGTGCCTTTGGAGACCTGGCGCTCAGAGATCGAAGAGTGCAGGGCGATGATTGTTTGACCTGCAAATAGACTTAAACCCAGGGGATGCATGACCCACCCCTGGGTTTAAGTCATTGTGGGGGTAGTCAAAAAGTGGAACCCTGGATCCGTGTGCGTCCGCACTTTGTTATTGGACAGAACTGCGAGGACTGCACTTCGGAGACTCCAACTTGCCCACGCCTCGTAGTCTATGCTCTCCATTGCCGCAGCACCAACCTGGTTGATTGACGAAGGGGGCAAACTCACACTCGTGGCACCAACAGGCCCGTGCTCGCCCCTCTGCCACGTGCACCTGGCAAGGCGGTCGCAAGCATGGCCCATCCTCTCAGGGCGGTTCTTGCCTGCACCATCCAGGCACGGAGCTCCCTCCAAGCAAGCTGCCTCAAAGCAAGCACCGACTCGCGCGAACGAACATGCCGCGGAAGCTTGGTGCCATGCACCGAAGCCAAAGCAACAGCAACTGCCCGACAAAACGAGGTAAGAAGCTCACGCCATGTCTGTCACAGCCTCCAAGTCAGCCTGGCGCAAACCCGCAGCGGTTGAGCTCAGCAACGCCTGCTCATCGCAAGGGACTTCTGGGGTGGGGGGGTGACAAAGCGTGCCCAACGCTTGAAACGCGCTTCTGATGTGCTCATGCAGCACCTTGGACTCCACGGCTTCGAGGATGAGCCAAGTGTTTGACCTTCAGCTGACAAATATGGAACATCTTCTCAGAATCTGCTGTCAAAAGCATTGACTCAGGCCGAAGCATCAAGTCTGTATGCAAAGTCAAGGCATTCCCCCAGTTCGGGGTTGTAAACCTTGGAACTGGAAAACTCCTAGCCAAGCCGATGATCCTGTGAAAGCTCCGAAGCGAGAAACTCTCGCCGATGGGAAGCAAAGCTCGGGGGGCTTTGAATTGAGGCGCACACTCCACGTGAGTGCCCTGTCTGCGTTTATGAGGATTCATTGCCTGCATTCGCAAAATTTCGCAATTGCGTGAATCGCATCATGCTCGGAAGCGTTGCGCGGCTTGTGAGAACTCTGAAATCGATTTGGCCGCGGTTCAAACATAGGCAACAAAATTGGAACCCTGGTATATGGAACCAAGGACTAAACCCTGTGGACTTAGCTTCAACCCATACCCGTTCCCCAGCCTGCATAGAGATCAAGATGCGCACCCAGCCGGACCAGAGCTGCCCCCGGAGCGGGGTGCAAATGATCTCGCGCCTATGTGCAATTGGCCATGGGTCAAAACCCCGTACCCCCAGTGAACATCCCAATCCCCACTAAAATAGGTTCTAGAATTCGTGGTGCACCTACCCCAACATGGTACCATTGGTTTTGACAACCACAGCCAAATGATCTCGCTGTGCCCCCGCATCTAGAGCATTCCATTCCAGGGCTCCAGCGCAACTTTCGCATGGTCCAAGACATAGAGAAGATCCATGGAGCACCTGGCCGCTCAGGTGTCAAGGAAAGACTGCATGATAGCAATATGTCTTGCTTTTTGTTGTTCTGTGTTTAATGCATGTGCTCCAGAATTGGATTCCCTCTTGGCCACTCGCGTCAGTTACCTCTCTTTGCCGGAGCTGTTTCGGAAGGTCAGGGACCCGGCTGGATGATCTCGTGATCTCGGAAGACGTTGGACTCGTGGTTGAAGACCGGTGGGACTTCCTTCAACAGCCTCAAGGCTCGGGTGCCAGGCGCAGAGCCCAGTGCTCGATATTTTTCAGGTCGTCACGTGGGACGAAGCAGGTCCCAAAGGCAGTCCAGCCTCGAAAAACTTGGCACTGGCACATGGAGCTTTTCTGCAATCTGAGACTTTTGATCAAAAGGTCCTTTGGGATGACCATTGGTTGGAAAACCACAAAAATGATAATACGTCTCACTAAATGGGAAAAGTTACCCATGGTCATTTGGAGGCCAGGAATATTGAACCCCCAAGTGCTTGGCAAAGTCTTCAACAAGTTCTTATCCTGGACCAGCTCCAGAGTGACATCCTGCGCTGATCAGGTCGCGCTTCCCCTGCAACCCGCAAGTCCGTTCTCCTGGCGAGTGAAAATCTGGCACGTGAAGTCGCCGAGCTCGTTGGTTTCTTGGTTGCCTTCCTGGTTGCTCGACGGACGGGGCATGTGCGCAAAGAGGCACTGGGCGCCGACTCTGTTACGCACCAGCTCTTGGTACAGGTCGGTAAACACCTAAACAGGTCATGAGCAGCGCCCAAAAACCCCATTGGCCGTGTGGAGTGGGTGGTTACTACTGATTCAATGCCTGGTTTCATCGGGACTATGTGGCGGTCTATACAAAGCCTCATTGCACCGGCATAGACCCCGGATAGCGAAAAACCAGGCCGATGATTGCACACCAGCACCTCTAACAGCACCCCCGAACCCAAACTGCATACCCCCTAGCATGCCGTCAATCTCGCACAAATGCTCGTGTGCCGTCACCAAACACGCGCACGCGCCCGTCACCAACAACCCCCGCCCCTGAAACAGCACCTGCACCAGCACCCAAGCTCCTGCGCCGTCAATTTTGCAAACGTGCACCCGCACCGTCACCAGGACCTCAAACAGCGCCCCAAACAGCACCAGCAAGCACCACAAACCACACGCCCCTGTACACCAGCATAGCCCCCAGATAACCGCACCTGCACCCCAGCGTCCCCCTCGCCTGCCGTCCGATCTCGCACTAGCCCGTGCCTGTGCCATCACCAGCATCCAACACCCCACGGTAGAGCACCCCAAGAAGCGCCCGAGCAGTCCTGCTTTGCGGCAGCGTCACCACCCTTCAGCAGCGCTTGCATCAGCAAACCCAAACTTCATGCCTGCCAATCTCGCACAAATGCGCCGTCACCGTCACCAGCACCTCCAACAGCATCCCAAACACCCCGCAAAGCAGCACCTGCCAAACTGCATGGCCCCCTCGCGTCACTGGCACCTCAAACAGCAACACAAGCAACGCAAAACAGCACCTGCACCAGCACCCCAGACTGCATGCCCCTAGCACCCTGCTGTCAATCTCGCAAAAATGCGCCCGCACTGTCCCCATCACCCAAAACAGCACATGCACCAGCACCCCAAACGGCATGCCCCCTAGCACCCAGCCGTCAATCTCGCACATCACTTTCTCCTCTGTATTAGAAGTTAGAACCCCTATAGCTTTCAGCTATCTGGGGAATGACCCTAAAAGGGTGCCTTTTCTTGCGGGTACTCTTGTTGGGGTTGTTAAAGGGAAACCACAAGTAAGACCGCCATTCTGGGGGTCCAAGTCCATTTTGGCACACACCCGAAGATTAGATTCCGGCCTGGCCGAAGCGATACTTGAAGTTCAAGTCAAGCATCAGGTCCACCATGAGGTTGGTCCTTTGTCAAGCACCGCCAAGGCTCACGACTTTCAATAGACAAAAACAAGTCTTTAATGGGCGGACAAACACACCGCTGGCTGGTAATGCTGAGCAAAATGGACAACATGGGCCAACCAGTTTGGGAGCCACTTGCCATTCCATCCATAGCTTGAGGCTGCTCTCGCATCAGACTTTTGTCTAATTGACAAGTCCTGCTTGGCCAACTAACTTTAGCGCAAGCCGAGAGAGCAAGCGTGAATTGGTGTCACCCTCGCACGTGCCCAAGCTGCCAATGCCCTGCCAAACCAAAGGAACAGGCTTTGCTGCACACCAACTGCCGAGGCAAAGCCCTCAGGGTCTCTCAGTGAACTTGAGGTCTCCGTCTTGCCTTCGACCAGCGCCTCGACCCCCGTCTTGCCTTCGCCGCCGCTTCGGTCTTCCCGCGAACGCCAAACGAATATGGCGGAGAGGAAAACAAATGGCGGAGAGGAGGGAGGCGAGGATTGTTCCAAACAGCCAAAGCCGAAGCCTGCGAAGCCTAGAACGAATTGAAAAGAAGATGTGTCAGGTCTGCTTTCGGCGGGTCTCCTCTGACTCAAGACTGAGGATGCAAGTATGCAGCTCATAACTCATGACTCCCTGCACATCCTTTCACAGGAGCTGATGACAGCGTTGAAGCTGATGTCATCTGGGGTGATATCCTCCAAGCACATCTCCTCCAACAAAAATAAGGCCATCTGCCACTGGGAGCTCTTTTCGCAGGAGCTGATGACAGCACTGTAGCTGATCACGTCCGCGCCGACCTGCGTCTCGTACATCTCTCGCAGCATCAGCGCTGCGATCTGCCACTGCGCGCCCCTCTCAGCGGAAGTGATGCCCGCGTTGTAAGCGATAACGTCAGGAGGAAGTTGTTCAGCATGCATTTCGCCCAAGAGGCCCAAGGCCAGCTGCCACTCAGATCCCTTTGCACAGGAGCTGATCAAAGCGCTGTATGAAACCACGTCTGGGTCAATGCGATTGCGCCATGACTCTTCCAGCAAGTGACAAGCAAGCACCCAAAGTGAGACCCTCTCACAACAGCTGATGCAGGCATTAAAGCTGATGACATCTAAAATACATTGGCCATGGCTCTTTGCTTCCTCCAAAAAGTGCAGAGCCAGTTGCCACTGCAAACCCTTCTCGCAGCTGCCGATCATTGCATTGTAGGTGATGATGTTCGGGCGGACATCGGAATCTTGCATTTCTGCTAGCAAGTGCACAGCTCGCTGCCACTCTGCAGCCCTCTGACAGCAGTTCACGGCTGCACCGAAGCTGATGACGTTTGGCCTCTTGCGACGCGCCTGCATCTCCCCCAACAGCTGCATGGCCAGCCGCCCGTCGCCCGAGCCGATCGCCGCGTTGTAGCTCACCACCTCGTCCATGCGAAGCGTCTGCATCTCTGCCAGCAAGTGCACAGCCAGCTGCCACTGACCCCTGCAAGAGCTGATGCTTGTGTTGTAGCTGATCACATCTCTCATCTCATGAACCTCCAACAGATGCAATACCATGAGCCATTCGGAAGCCGCCTCACAGGAGCTCAAAGCAGCGTTGAAGCTGACGACATCGGGCATCCCTCTCTGGCCAAGCTCTAGAAGCAACTGCAAAGCCGTGGGCCACGTGCAAGAACTGAGTGCAGCATTGAAGCTAAAGATGTCTGGACTGAGGTAGTCTCCTGGCAACCCGAGAAAGCCAACAGCCAGCTGCCACTGTAGCGCCTTCTGGAATGAGCTGATTAAAGCACTGGCGCTGATTACATCTAGCAGGATACGCCTGTGTCGAGCGTTTGCCAAGACCTGCATGGCAAGTTTCCACTTCCGCCCTTTCTCGCAGGAACTCAGTGCAGCATTGCAGCTGACGACGTTACAACCTGGCTTCAGATTCAAGGCCAGCTCCCACTGAAAGCCCAATCCACAAGAGCTGATGGAGGCACTGAGACTGTGGACCGACGCAGAGACCCGGAGATGCACCATGCTTTTGAAAGTCTGTACTGCCTCTTGCCACTGTCTGGACTTGCCAAACCTCGCAATCGCCGCAGTGAAGTCCCGCTCTTGCAAAGGCCGACTGCCTGACAAGGCCTTCTCTTGCATCGCCCCTCAAATCTCCGGCAAGAGCCTTCATGGACCTCTCAAGGAACCACTTAGTGCATTCCATTTGGAGTGATTGAAAAAAAAAGACCTGCCTTCTCTTTGAGCCCGCTTGCCGGCATCTCCGCCCCACTCGAGCCGCTTGCGCCGAGCGCCGGGGCGCCGAGCTCCAGCTTCCGCGCCGAAGGCTCCATCAAGTGCGAGTGCCTGCGACTGGGAGCGAGTTGGAAGTCTCGGGAGTGAGGATCTTGGTCAAAACTGGGTATCTCAAGGGATGGGTTCAGGAAGTGGCGTCACAGCAAAGCGGGAAAGAACGCAGTCCACGGTGTACTGAAGGTCCCAAGCAGGAGCATCGCACCATGGAAACTCCCGTGCTCGTCTCTGTGAAGCAACGCGGTGGCAACGCGGTGGCAACGCGGTCGGGGGGGAAGCCCGGGCCTCAACAAAACCTCGACCGCATTCTGGCCCTGGCCAAGCGATGTCGAGGCTGGGCTCAGGTGGCTTGATTCAAACGATGGTGAACAGGACGCGCAAAGAAACCTGGCCGGGCGTGCGTGGCCAATGACCTTCTTGTCCAGGAAGACCTGGTCTTCAAGAGAATCGGAGCAAGTTGGCTGTCCGCGCACGGCACGTGCCTGACCGATGATCTTTCTGAGGCCGTCCTGAGCCCAACTCGCCCGTGTTTTTCAAAGGAAGATGTTGGCTTTGCTCAAATTGTGACATGGCTGTGGCTCAAAAAGATGTACTAAAACGGCACTTTGGCACATGGAAACAATCACTAAAACCTGCGTAACCCAAAGTCTTTCATTTTGAGCCGCGCTCAGCTGGCGCAGAGGAAAACTCACCTTGGGGGGGGGGGTTCCTCGTGCGACGGACTTCTTTTCCGGCTGTTGGGCCCTTGGGGCGGTGCATGGAAGCCGCCGAGGCTCAGGAGCCACTCGAAGTTGGTTTCCAAGGCCTGGCGCGCGCGCGCGATCGGTCGCGGGCGGGGGCGCGGTCTCCTTCTTCAGGCCGATCTGGTCGTGGGTCAATTCACCGATGGAAAAATTCCGCCACCCATTTTAGTCGGGATTTTAGTGGGGATTGGGGTACGATTTGGGTTTTGACCCATAGCCTTCTTCGCGCAGATCGCTGATTTGAAAGGCCCACCTGCAAGTGCTTCTCGGCCACTGCCATGTCCTCTCCCACATGGACGCGCAGCGGACTTCCACCTCACTTTACAGGGAAGGATGTATCGAGGAGAGTTTGACTGCACATCCGGCTGACAGCGGTGCTCTCAGGAGCGTGCGAAGCACCTCCCCGCTGGCATCTACCAGGGCAAGCATCCCCACCTCTTGTCAGGCAGCATTGATATCATGACCGTTTGTTGCTGATGACACGACAAGTTCTTCGCACCAAAGCATGGCGCCAAGCAAGTTCGGCCTTTTCACGCAGCTCCCAGCAAGGATCACTGAACCCCAAAGCGACCATCACCCAGCTTCCCCAGGCTCGCGCGTCAAAGATGGTCAGCGCGCACCTCGAGTTCCGAGCTTTGCGGTTTGCACTGCAACTCACGGCCTGCGTGCAAGCCAAGCCACCCCAGCAGGACAGCTCCCTGCATCTTGCATACATCAAGCCCCAGCTCGGCACGCCTGAAGGCGTCAATGTCATGGAAAGATTTGCAGCACGTGCTGGCCTGCTCTGCTGAAACCGCCGGCACTGCGATATCCTGGTACGAGCCCACCAAGCAGTTGCAGTCAATGATTATTGTTCCACCTCCAATATGCAGAGGCCAAGTGTGAAAATTGTTGTTCCTGTGATTGTTTTTTTTGTGAGCGAAGAGGGTTCTCCATACCTGCCAAAGCAAAGAAAACCCAACAAACACTTGAAGTCTATGCAATGCCTTGGCCACAAGCCAGCGGATATGTCCTGCTTTGGAGCGGCCTCAAACTCGCAAACAGGAAGTTTGACAGATCGGGTGCTCTCCAAGCCAGATAGGTGGGGTCTATTTTACCCAAAAAGTTGTAGTAGTCGCAGTACTCGCAGTCGCAGTCGTAGTCGTAGTCGTCGTAGTAGTAGTAGTAGTAGTAGCAGTGGCAGTAGTCGTAGTAGTAGTGGTAGTCGTAGTAGCGTGGTAGTGTAGTAGTAGTAGTAGTAGTAGTAGTAGTAGTAGTAGTAGTAGTACTACTAGTAGTACTAGTAGTAGTAGTAGCGGGGGAGGAGGAGGAGGCGGGAGGAGTGGTAGGAGGAATAGTAGTAGGAGTAGTAGTAGTAGTACTAGTAGTAGTAGCAGGAGGAGGAGTAGCAGTAGAGGAGGAGGAGGAGGGGGAGCAATAGTAGGCTTAGGAGTAGGAGGAGGAGTAGGAGTAGTAGTAGTAGTCGTAGTAGCAGGAGTAGCGGCAGTAGTGGCACGGCCAGCACTTGTGGTTTGCCCAGAACCCGCGCTGCGAGCATATGCCAGAACTGCAATAGAACAAGCAGGCTATGACCTGTCGTGCCACCGCTAGAACGGGGTTCGAGGTCAGTACTGACCTTTGTATAGATAGTTAAACCCTAAAACCTACCATCAAGCCTCTCCGGAGGATCCTCCAGAGGGTTGTCTTGAGGCCGCGATCTGGAGCTCGATTCCTTCCAAAACAGAGGCAGGGCGCACTTCCAAGCATTTTTGGTGCAAAAAAGGCTTGCTTTCTTCAAGTTTCTTGCGAAACAGCATGTTTCCTGCAAAGGAAGCTCCTGCCAGTAGTCATATGCTTGTCTCACGGGCTGAGCAAGGTCTTCAGGCCACATTCCTTCAAAGACAGAAGCAGAGCGCACTTCGAAACTCTCTTCGGGGGCCGACGCGCGCAACTGCGCAGGGCGCGGCTTTTCGATGGGTCACTATGTGTTTTTTGGGACTACCCTAGGCTCAGCCAGAAGTTAGAAGGTGACAAGTGAAGCTTTCCACACCATAAAGTGAGGGTTTGAGTTTGAGGGCAAGAAAACCCTAAACCTGAAAACCTGAACCGTTACTGAGGGCAAGTGAAACCCAAAACTAAAACCCAAGCAGGGGGGGTTGAGGGCAAGTTGAACCTTAAACCTGAGCCCTGAATTAGGGCAAGTGAAACCCAAAACCTGAACCCTAAAGTGAGGGTTTGGGGGCAAGTTAAACCTCAAACTAAACCGCAAACGGGGGGGGCTTGAGGGCAAGTTAAACCTTAAACCTGAACCCTAAATGGTGCAAGTTAAGCCTAAGGCTTGCCAGACAGAGGCCGGAAAGTGGTTCTGGGCGAACCACACGTGCTGCGGGTAGTAGTAGTAGTAGTAGGAGGAGTAGTAGTAGTAGCAGTAGTAGTCGTAGTAGTAGTAATAGTAGTACCACTACTTAGTAGTAGGAGGAGTAGTAGTAGTAGTAGCAGTAGTAGTAGTAGTACTAGTAGTAGTAGTCGTCGTAGTAGTAGTAGTAGTGTAGTTGTAGTAGTAGTAGTAGTAGTAGTAGTAGTAATAGTCGCAGTAGTAGTAGTCGCAGCAGCAGCAGCAGTAGTAGTAGTAGTAGAAGTAGTAGTAGCAGTAGTAGTAGCAGTAGTAGCCGTTGTGTTAGTAGTAGTAGAAGCAGAAGTAGTAGTAGTAGTAGTAGCAGCAGTAGTAGTAGTAGTCGTAGTAGTCGTAGTAGTAGTCGTCGTAGTAGTAGTAATAGTAGTACCACTACTTAGTAGTAGGAGGAGGAGGAGTAGTAGTAGTAGCAGTAGTAGTCGTAGTAGTAATAGTAGTACCACTACTTAATAGTAGGAGGAGTAGTAGTAGTAGTAGTAGCAGTAGTAGTAGTAGTAGTACTAGTAGTAGTAGTCGTCGTAGTAGTAGTAGTACTGTAGTTGTAGTAGTAGTAGTAGTAGTAATAGTCGCAGTAGTAGTAGTCGCAGCAGCAGCAGTAGTAGTAGTAGTAGAAGTAGTAGTAGCAGTAGTAGTAGCAGTAGTAGCCGTTGTGTTAGTAGTAGTAGAAGCAGAAGTAGTAGTAGTAGTAGTAGTAGCAGCAGTAGTAGTAGTAGTCGTAGTAGTCGTAGTAGTAGTAGTACCACTACTTAGTAGTAGGAGGAGGAGGAGGAGGAGGAGGAGGAGTAGTAGAGTTACCCTACGCTTTTGCAGTTTTCTCCATGCGACTGTGGACCCCGGCCACACCGGTGCTGCCAAAGCCGCCAGCCCCCCGCAAGGTCTCGTCCAGGGACCTCGCGCAGTCAAAAGCTGCGAGTGGAATCCACGGAAAACAAATAATAATAAGAATAATAATAAGAATAATAATAAGAATAATAATAACAATATGCTTTTAAAAAATGAAAACAAAAACAGCCGATGCCAAGGCGCTCCACTTCCACGCACTCGGCCGCGCAGGTCTTCCTGGGTCAAGCGCCGTGAGACATGCGCTTGAAATGCGGGAAAATGTCCGAGACATGCGAAATGCATTTCAAGTGTCAGTTGGTTTTCCCTCCCCAAACCGTGTGCATTGCGGCAGGCCGCATCCCCCCAAAAGGCTGCGGGTTCGGCGGAATTCGGCCCTTCAGCCAGGGCTCTCCAGGATCAGCTGCGCCACGCGGTCCCCCGCAGCCACCACGAAGTCCTGGCCGGACCGATTTCTGGACTGCGCCCTGCACCATGTACCCCCTACTCCAAGTACCCATGCTTTTTTTCAGGGAATTTATGGTGTGTTGGTTTCTCAGGCTGCCCCCTACACCCAATAATCATGTCGACCCTCCAATTACTAGCAAAGGAGGTATTTTGCCACGAAGCCAGGTTTTCTCAAAAAATACCCTGGAAAAAAGCGAGTATTTTGAGTAGGGTGTTCTTCAGTCCAACTCTTGGCTCTAGACTCGACTGAATGCAAAAAAACATGCGCCCAGAGCGACAGAATAGCATTCATTCCCTTTAAATGGATCCTCGCGGCCGTGGTTGAACACGAGAACCTCGACCTGGCAGCCAATAGGCCAAGGATCATTTGCATGAAATCCGTGGCAATTTGGACCGGCCTCCTCGCTGTTGTCCACTATCCCAGCTCCGATGTGAATCCTTCACGAAAGCAATTAGACAGGAAACTGAGCTCTTTGGACACATGGCTGTGGGTGACAAATAGGTACCCACAATGACACCTTAGTAAATGGAAACATGGACTAAATCCTGCGGTCCCCTAATGGTTTAATTTTGACCCACACCCACATCTGGGCAACCTGCAGTCAAGCCACATCTTCTTGGCGGCCAGCCCACTACGAGGTGCCACTCGGGCATATGTGCCCTGCAGTACGGACTCCGGACAGGCGCAAAGAAACCACCGTCATCGCTTTCTCCCTTTCTCCCTGCCTTGGGAGTGGAGATGGCAAGCCCAGTCTTGATGCTGCCCTGTCATAAACGCCCAAGCTTGAATTGTCAAGGAGAACATGCTGGTCAAAGGTGCCGCAATCTTGAACGTCTCTCATGAATACAAGTTGGCGTCACCTCGGGGGGAAAAAAAGCTTTTCTATGTAAGAATTGGTGTCGCATGCCCTCTGCATCTGTCTCGAAACACCGTCTGACAACAACGACTCTCTCGATAGTTCCCCTGGTCAGACAGCTAGACTCCAGCGTGCCTTGCTCCCGGCTGGGATCACAGTAGCTTCTGCAGCAGCCAGGTCAAAGCCTGCCGCAGCCTGAAGGAGCCGTGGCAGAGTCCCTGTGACACTGCCTTATCTGATTAACCGAAGGGACTGAAGAAGCTTAGATGGGAACCAGTTTGTAGATCAGTGAACAACTCAGCACACCCAAATGCAGGCAAGAGACGGCAGAGCCGCGCACGGGCATCTGCGCTGCCTGGTTCAAGCGCTTCACCAGCATCGCCTGGACGCTTCGTTCAGGCGCTTGAGCCCGAAACATGTCCTCCTCTCTCTCAAAAAGAAAGAAAGATGATGGCGGCGTCCACGCTTCCCCGCTCCCCAGCTCGCTGGCTCCACTCCCCACGAATCGCCTCGGCGGCCTCCTTCTTCGCCTTCAAAGACCTCGGGGTGGAATGCACGCGTCGAATCTGAGTAGCGGCGCATGGGAAAAACTCTGGGCGCGCGGCTGCACCTCGCTACAGCCGGCCATGGAGATCTGCCTTGCGTCAGAGAAATCGCAGCAAGCTCTTTCAGCAAGCTCGCAACTAATCGCTTAGGACGGCTTAGGACACTTTGGGACGGCTTGGGACGGCTTGGGATACCTTCCAAAAGCTCTGGGAAGCATCTGTGCTGATTGCTTGCAAAGGCTCTCCAGGATGAGCTGCGCCACCCGGTCCCCGACAGCCACTGCAAAGTCCTGCCAGCTGTTCTCAAGGGGGAAATGGGCCCAAGGCTTTTAAATCGTAATACTGCGGATGGAC